AAACTTGCAGGCGTTGGCCTGACAGAGTGGACGGGTTGCCTGTCACTGCTTGAGTCTAGACTGCCTAATTCAGTCAGGAGACTGCTTGATTCAGTCAGAAGACTGCTCATAGGAGGGTGCAGGCCTGCCTGATTCCGTTCAGCGGATATGTCGTTAAGGACGGTTGATTGTTTCCGCAGGGCCTGAAGTGCAAGCACGAGATCGGGCGTTCGAGAATGCTGCAAGAGTGCTTGCAGGGTCTGTGGGCTGTGAACGCCAGCGCTGGACACCGCACCGACCCCAGCCTCATTGCGTACTACTGTCAAGTTGAACACTGGCTGGGACGTGTCCGTACTAAATATGGCGCGACTGCCTTCGCCGGCGCAATTGTGCGCGTTCTCTTTGCAACGCTCTCTGCACCCTTGCAAGGCACAACCAAGTCCAACACGGGCGCACAAGGGAGAAAATGACTATCAGCGCCCATGTAAGTGGGAACGTCGCTGAGCTAGGGTCCACTCAGATCAACAACGTTAGCCTGAACACGAGTATGTATGTGCCACTTTTCCCCACTCCTGAAAGGAGCTGACCGACGAGCGCAGCATACACTACCGATGACCTCAACCGCGCTTGCCTCCACGCTCTACGATGCCCAAACACGCTAGACGTCAGGATTAGGCTCAAGGAAAAAGACAAGCTGCTACCCAAATTGATTGAATGGGTTTTTCAGGACGCCCAGTATGTGCGATGGCAGAACAGCGAAGATGTATCCCTTCTCTAGATCAAGGGTGGCGCAGGCAAAGGAAAGACGATGATGTCCATAGGCCTCATTGAGTATCTTGAGCAGCCCTCCTGTCCTCATGAGCAGCCTCCCTTAATAGCGTACTTCTTCTGCCAGAACACCAACTACGAGCTCAACACCATCGAGGGTATTATAAAAGGGCTAATCCTGTGCCTAGTAAACTAGAGGAAGGAGCTATACAAACCTTTGCGTCGCCAATAGGACAATGACAACAGGTGGTTTTAAGAAAATCTTACCTTGTGGCGAGCGCTCTGGAGCATTCTTCTAGAAATGCTGCACCACTGCAAGAGTTAAAGAATATATGTGGTCATTGACGCTCTTGATGAATGTCAGAACCAGGACATGGCTGCATTCTTGCAGCTTATCGTACAGACAGGATCCAGCTCAAAAGTCAAGTGGCTGTTGACAAGCCGGCCGTTTGATAGTGCTGGACGTGAGCTGCTTAGCGCATCTGACCAGGTGATGGTTAGCTTAGAGCTGAACTCAAGCCATGTTTCTGAAGCAGTCAAGAGCTATATTGCTAAAAAGGTGTTTTAGCTTAATCATTGTTATTGCTATAGATTAGCTCTATGTAAGCAGCTTGAGGCCGAGCTTACTAAGAAGGCCAAGGATACCTACCTTTGGGTTAGCTTGGTGTGCAAGAGGCTTGATGGCGTCAATCAAGCCAACGTCTTAACAACAATCAAAGAGCTTCTACCTGGACTAACGCTGTTCTATTGTTAGATACTTGAAAAGCTCTGTGAAGGAGAGCTAGCTGTCGTTAAAAGGTCTATGCGACTTCTTAAGGTAATGCTGACAGCTTATTGCCCTCTTAGAGAGGAAGAAGTGAGCAGTCTCAGCAGTGTAACAGGTTTGCCCTAGGAAGATGTAGAGATTAATCTGCTAATTAACAGGTGCGCTTCCTTTATTAGGAAGAAAGGAGCAAGCATTAAGTCTGTCCACTAGTCGGCACGAGACTATCTGGCCCAGGAGATGCAAACCACTCTAAGCTCATACGTGAGTTGGGAGCATACTAGAGAAATTGCGCTAAGCTGTCTACACTACCTCTCTCAGCAGCTCAAGGTCAACCCAGTGAGCTTACCCTAACTCAATTCTAGAAGAGGATCAATAAGGAGGCTTCCAGAGATGGCGGGACAGGGACTGTTGGACAAGGCAGATTATGCAGCCACATTCTAGGCACAACATCTCGCAGACAGTACGCTAAACGCGCTAGTAACAAATACCCTTGGAGATTAGGGCAAGGTTGTTATGTTCCTGCATGCTAAGCTGCTGGAGTGGTTCGAATGCCTAAGCTTGCTAGACTAGCTACTGCGTGGGATTAAAGCATTAAAGACTTTAGCAGACGCAAGCAATGTAAGTACCCTTGTCAGATGCTCGTACTGTGAGCCAGAGTATGTGCTTAACGAGATCTTAGGTGGTAT